AATAATAAACAAAACAATTAAATTAAATAATTGAAAGAGATTTGAGACCAAACCCTCAGAAATTAAACCTTTCACGTCTAGGGGAAGGCAACTTCGAATATGGCTAGGTGTTTCTAGATCTACTGAATGCGGAATTTTGTATTCAAAAACAAAGTTTTGAAGAAAAGATGAATGATTAAAGCATGCTAATTAAAACTGATCGTAGATGAGAACTTGTGAATGAGGAGAATTGGTGAAAATTGGTGGATGAAAACGGAGTTTTTAATACGATATTTATAGAGAAAATCAGCCAAAAAGATAAAATAAACAAAACAGAGTCTGACGCACAAAAAAACAGAGTTGGCGCCAACCCTGGCTAACTGGCGCCAGGCACCAACATTAGCGCCAGGCGCCAATGGCTAGCGCCAGGCCTGGTTCCAGGCGCCAAAGCCTGGGGTCAGGCGCCAAGCCTATTTTCAACGCGTTTTTGAAAATCAGATAAGTTTGCCGTACTAGAGGATAAAATCATATAATTTCCTCAAAAATGCTATTTGATTTTAATTAAAACTCTGAAAAGTCAAAAGTCAATTTATCAATGCTAATTGAATTAGGAATGAAAAGAACCTTCTAGAATATTCTAGAAGACTAAAACCATTCCTAATTGCATTAGGAATGATAAATCCGTATTAGGCCCTCCCCTAGATCATTGGGCTCATATAAGGCTCAAAACGGGCCCAGATTAGTAATTTGGCCATAACTTCCTCAATATTCATTGGAATTGGGCTTATTATATATCGTTGGAAAGCTCTTGTCAAGCCCCACCCAACTACACTATTATTGGACCCATATCATGGACCAACCAAACTGGATTGGCTATTTTCTTAAAATAAGTTTTCAAAAACAGAGAGAAGAAAAAAGAAAACTTTCCGCACACTAGACTTTCCACACTTTCGCTTCATTCGATTATGATTCGACGTGAAAGGTACTCATCACACTGGGTTTGGTTTTGGGGAGACACAAATGGGTGTCTACACATACAAAAAAAAAGGTTAATAAAAGTCAATCAATTACTATAATCCATGAAAAAATAGCCTTAATAAATAAATATATATATATACAGAGTTGAATTTAACCCAATGAATCACCCGAATATGACTCGACTAGAAGTTGACCCGACCCGAAGTTGACCCGGAAATTGGACCCGAAAACTAACATGACCCAAACTAACCCGACCCGAAAATTGACCCGACCCAAACTTGACCCGACCCGAACTCGACCCGATACCCGACCCGACCCGACCCGATTATCAGTCGACCCGAAATCAACCCGAAACCCGAAATGACCCGACCCGACCTGAACTTGACCCGATAATCTTTTGACCCGACCCGAAATAACCCGACCCATACCCGACCCGAATGACCCATTTGCCAGGTCTAACTCATTCTATCTCCACGATCATGAACGAGTAATAAATGAATCATTTCACCAATCACATACATTTGCCTCTACGCGCACCTTGCATAATTAGAGCATAAACAATACTTGCAATATAGAATAGTGCACCACATACGGAAATCACAATGTGTAACCAAACAATTTAGCCCAGTCTTCTCTATACATGATACTAAATTCTCGATCTGTCCTTAAACATGCACCTAAAAGCAAGGGCGCGTAACTCGTACTTACCTTGATAAATAAATTTGAAAACCGCTTTTCCAACTAAAAACATCTTCTATGAGGTCCTCTCCTAAACCAAACAACAATAATTCAATCAATACCCAAGCAATTTAATTTACAACAATATAACTTGATTTAAAACTCATTAAAACTTCCTTAAAAACATGTTTTTATGCTCAATTAATCAATGGAAATTCAATAGGAACAAAAGGACCAAATTTATTGATCATTAGAACCCTAAAATCCTAATTTAAATAAATTAAAACCCTAGGTTAATAATTCATAAAATCTAAAAAATTAATATATATATATATATATTATCTGAAAATATAACCATTTACCATCAAAATATAGATTTGATACTAATTATATCAATTTCAAACAATTAAATCAAAAACCCAAAACAATACTTATATAATTATACAAATAGAAATAAAAATAAGGGGGAAAAAAGGAGAGGAAGACCAGCCACTGCATGATGGGAGGCTGGGCTGGTGGTTGATCACCGACGGCTAGGGGCGTCGTCATCGGTTTCCGGCAAGCACAAATGGTGGCAACAAAGTTAGCAATAGCTCACGTAAATAAGGAAGAAAAGAAAAGAAAAAGAAAGAAAGAAAAAGGAAAAAGAAAAGAAAAACTAAAATAAAGGAAAAATAAATAAAAATAAAATAAAGAGAAAAGAAAGTAAGACTAACCTTTTGTGTGGAGAAAATTTTGGGGATTAATGGGGTATTTATAGGAGAGAAAGTTGTAGGGTGAGTAGGAATATTGGGCCTCATGAAATAATAGGTCAATTAAATAAATGAAATGGACTAGGTTTTGTTTGTATGGGCATAAATTATAGAAGAAATGTTCATAAAAATTTCTTTATAATAAAATCGTTTATCAACCCAAAATAATTTGAAACTTGTAGAATCAATTCTGGAAAAATACAAATAAATATTATAAATAAAATAAAATTTCATTTATAAAATATTTAAAAATACGGGGGATTACAACTCAGGACTTGACACATGTCAAGTAACTTGATATTAAAGGTGATCAAAATTTCGGGGTGGGCCGCGCTTTACCATAGTATATCATACCTACACCTGTAAAAAGTAGCGGACTTTTTGGCCAAAACGGTTTTTTTGGGCCAGGTTTGAGTTTTTAATTAAAAATACATTTTTAGGCTTGCCTAAACCCGACCTATTTTTGGGTCGGGAAGCAGGCTGGACTAATGTTGATCACCTCTACATGATATAATATGGACTTTTGTTGACCAGTTTGGAATTGAACAATGTAAATAACCCCTAAAGTTTGGATTATTCCAAAATAATTTAAAGTTGAGATTATTAAAAGAAAATACAGCAAAGTTAAGTTAATTTTTTACAAATTTTCCTTAAAAATATATATATCGTGATGAATCCAACGAGAATTTACATAACTATATTTTTCCAAATAAATCGAGGAAGTTATCCATAGAACATTGATAGCTAGGGATGGCAACGAGTCGGATCTGGATGGGTCCGGATGGACCTGGATCCAGATCGTTTTTGTAACAAGGATCCAGATCCGACCCAGGTCCGTCAGGTCTGGAAAATGGAGATCCAGATCCGACGGGTCCAACGAATCCGGGTCCAATATATCTTGCCTAATTTTTTGCAATAATTGTAATGTTTAGGTTAAAAAATGCATTTCAAACTTTCGTCGGGTTATTAAGTTCAACCTAAATTAAAGTTATACAATTAATCTATAAATACAAAGTAAATAACCAACTTATACACTTATATTTTAAAATAAAAATTATAAACAACGAAAAAAGTGCGATGTTACAAATGAGCATGTGAAAAAACAACGATGATGTATTCGATATGAGTACCAAAATTCATCTTTTGAAAGGGCTAATTTTTATCATTACTAACATCATCAACATTTTTAATAAAGAAGCAAAAAATTTTAGTTTTTTCAATAGGAAAATTAAAAAACGGGTAAACGGACCTGGGTCCGGGTCTAGGGGCCAGACCCGAATCTAGATCCGTTTTTCTCAGGAGGATTCGGATCTGACCCGGATCCAAAATTTGAAGACCCAGATCCGTGCAAAAGGATCCACAAATCTGGGTCGGGTCTGGATCCACTATCATCCCTAGTGATAGCTAGTACCCATAAAAGCTACTTGTATTAGGGCGTGTTTGACAATATTAAATATAGTTGTGAAGGTAGTTGTTAGCTATGTAGGTAGCTTTTAGCTATCAACAAGTTGTAGGTGTGAAGATAAATAATTTAGGTATGAGTGTTTAGTAAACTAGCGATTGACTAGATGTTACATATAAAAATCAATATTTTTTATTAAAACTATAGATTTTATTTTCAACGGCTACCTTAAAAATTAGGAGGGTCGGGTTAATCAATTTGATTAACATTTTTTGTTGATCAAATGACAATCTCGTAAACACATTGCCTCATATTCTGGGAAAGTGATATCAAAAATATATTTCTGCTTAGTTGCCAGCGAACCAAGGAAAAAAAAAAACTTTCCTAGATTATTAGATTGAGATTCTTTAACAATGAAGGAACAAAGCTTGTGAACTCAACAGTGTCAACAAGCTTGTGAACTTAACCACCATTTCCACCACCATATTTCCGGCAGCTCTACTGCCAATTAAACGAAAACCCTAAGAGAAAATGGTGAAATTAAGGGTATGGTTAACCCTAAAGGGTAAGGTTTATCTTCGTCCTCCATTAAAGATCGATGCTTGAGTAGGTACGTGCATGTTTCGTTCTCCATTAAAGCTGAGGAAGATGAAAGCTAAGAACAACTTCATTCTTGGAAAAAAATTAATTCTATATATATAAGTGAGCTTACCATTTTTAGATTATGCTTACCATTACTAATTGCCCAGCTCCAATGGTCGAGTGGTATGGTAGAGCAATTGAGCTGATATGGCATATGAGGAGAGAGAAATCAGAGGAGAGAAGAGGATAGAGAAATTAAAGGAGGATAGAGAATTTAGCAGAAGAGACTAAGAGAGAGATAACGTGAGGTAAAGTCGTCACTTAGAGTCACCTAGTAGTGTCCTCCCCAAATGTCATCTTTGCCCTTACTTTCCCAGATGAAAGTACAATGCTACCCCTTGAGAAACACAAAATGTTTCTAAATTTGATAAACTTGAATTTATCTTGAGCTTGGCTCAGCCCAGCAAGGTGTTGGACCAGCACAAGGCATCCTTGGAATTTCACACTTAATGATGGTAAAAAATACAACATGCAAATACAATATATATATATATATATATATATATATATATATATATATATATATATATATATATATATATATATATATATATACGCATATAAAAACCTTTTACTCCTGTTTCTCGTTACTCATTCCCCTTTGGTTTTCCATTTTCGCGGCTTCCCTCCCACTGTGTGTTCTTCTTGTTCTTCTTCCTTCTCTAAGCTCTTCTCTAAGCTAAGCCCCTCTTTAATTCGAGTTTCCGGTCAAGCTTATCAACATTTCTATAATGGAGCAGCGACAAGGTTAGTCCTTCACTTTCAATTTAGAAATTGGGAAGTTCTATATTATAAATTTGTGAGAATTTTGGTGTTTATTTCTAGGGTTTAACTGTAGATTGAATGTTCTTTGTGTTTGACTTGTGAATTTCTAGATTAGGGCTGATAAATTTTGAATTTTTTTAAAGTTATGCGGATTTAGGGATTTTGGGGTTTAGGGTTTAGCTGAATTTTAGTTTTAATTAGTTGAATTATACTCTAAATTAGTTAAATTATAATCTGAATTAGTATAGACTCGAAGTTGAAGTACTCGAATTTTGGGGGCTAGCATTTTGGGAAGGTGATGGGTGCGAAAATGGGTGTTTATTTGCGGGTTGCTCTGTTTTTGAGGGTGCAGGGGGTGTTTTTAGCTATGTTCTTATGGATGCCTTCAATTTATATTTTTGTACTCTTTTCTTAGCCAATAATTGATATCGATCCCTTCAATTTGGCATTTTGTGGGTGCTTACATTGGTATATTTGGTACATATCAACAAATTTTTGTGGGTGCTTACATTGGTATATTTGGTACATATCAGCAAATTTCACCGAGTTCTGATCTTGTATATGGTGAACCAAGGGACGAAGTTCTTGTAGTTGATTAAGGAACCAAGTTCTGATCTTGTATATGCTATTATTGGTTGTAGATATTTCAATCCGTGCCTTGGTGATCTGTACTGCTGTACATATTGTAATTTCAGATTCTTGAATATTGATTCCACTTTCTGCTAATGTGCTGAGTTGTGGAAGCATTTCACTTTTTTTTATTCTTGTGGAAGCATTTCATCTTTTGATGCTAATAATTCAATTGAATTAATTAGGGAAATAATAATGTTAATTCTTGCTAAAGATCCATATCCCTATGCATGCAGGGAGAAGACAATCAAAAAAGCATAAGGTACTGGAGGCGATGCAAGACAAGGAACCTTCTACATCTGAATCTGATTCTGACTTCAGTCCCAAGTCAGATTTAGAATCGGAAGGTTGGAGTGCAGATTCAGAAAGCATGATGAGTGAAGTTGTTGCCCTTCGCAAGGAGTTAAAAGAGAAGGCGAAGGCAAAAAAAAAGGAAAAGGAAAAAGGGTTGGCGAAGCAAAAGTTGAAGGGAAAACTGACCGACAAAGATGATGAAAGTGTATGGATTATTTGTACTTTAATATTGTAATTTGGTTTTAGTATTTATAATTCAACATTATACAATGCAACATTACATGGCTGATATGTGTAGGAACCAAGCCTGAATTCCAATCGTCGGATAGCTAGAAATAAATCCTATCAAGGTACAAAGGCACTTGATCCTGCTGTATATGTGGTGAGTGGAAGTTTTATTTGTAAGGTTTTTTATATAGGCATATATTTGGATACTATATTCTGATGAACGCTAACTCTTTCTTATACTTTTGTTTATTCTAATAGGATAATTCAAAAAGTCTGGGAGGTCGCAAAGTAATAGCAACCTATTATCAGCACAAGAAGGTGAATTGATGTTAATTTTCTCTATTTTGTTACATTTTCCAGTTCCAATTCTGGAAGTGTAACTAAACCTTTTTTTCACATAGTAAAAAAAGCACACTTATTAAATGTTAATGAAATCTTGAAAGCTCAAAAGCATAGATTTAATATTAAAACCTAAGATATTATTTACTTATTAAGTTTGATTTATTTTGTGATAATATCTTAGTTTCCTTGGAAGGGGAGAGGGATGCTTCTATACATATTTTCTTTTCATTGTTTTAACCTATAGGGGCTGACACCAGGTTTTAAGTGATAAACTCTTATTAATCAACATTAAGAGCAAAAGTCAGTGATTAATCAACATTAGCTAATACAGTTTGATTTATATAGTACATTTGTTATTTAGAGTTGTTTCTTTGAATACATCAGTTCTATTTAAATTAAAATATAATAGTCATGATACATGCATCCTAGTATACATAAAAATTTTTGAAATTTACTAAATGCTTATATGCTCTCTCCATTTAGTAAATTTCAACAAATTAGTATGCTCTCTCCATTTAGTAAATTTCAACAAATTAGTATGCTCTCTCCATTTTTTTTCTGTCTTGTTTGTCTTATTAATCCTTTAAGTTGTTGATTTTCTTCTGTTTTTCCATTTTGAAGACAATGTCGAATGTCAATTGTGCCATGGAGACTTTAGGGAGGGTTGTTGCTTCCTTTAACCCTACCAAGAGGCGCATTGTATCTGATATGGGGTTCGGAAAGCTGTTGTATTATGCTGGGAAAAGTCTCCCACGGAACTTGTCATATTGGATTGCTACCAGAGTTGATGTGAAGAATAAAACTCTGGTGGCCGTCGATGGAAAAGAAATTCGGTTGAACGTAGCCCAAGTGCGGTGGGTTCTTGGCCTTCCAAAGGGGAAAAAACCTCTTCCAAGGAAATGTGTTGATGAGGCTTTAGAAGCCTATTTATATGACAAGTACAGCATACCTATGGGGCACGACACTTCTGGTATTTATAGGACCACTCTATTAAACGTAGTTGAGGCCCTTTAGATGATGAGGAAGAGTTCAAGCAGGTTTTTGTGCTGTTACTGCTTAACATTCTCTGTGCAACATCCTGTCAAAGAGTGAGCAAGAAGCAAATGCACCCGATTGTCGTAGCTTCTCTCAAACCAAAGACGTATGACTGGTGTTCTCTAGTGTTGGAAGAGTTGCTCCACGCTCTACATGGTTTCAGTAAGAGGTTCTACTCGGAAGGGTGGGCACCTTGTCTTGGAGGTTGTACATATTTTTTGGCGGTAGGTGTAAGCTTTTTTTAATTTAAAACTAATTTTTCATCCTGAATTTTTTAAAAGTTTTTGATGCATGTTCTACAAATGAAATGAAGATCTTGTATTTGGATAGACTTCAAAGGATTCCAGTACAATGGGATGTCTACCCACGCAGTAAAGTGTAGACCACAGATGAAATGAAGAAAGCAGAAAAGGAAGATCGTTAGAGAGTCATGATTATGGGAAACTTGGGGTAAGTGTGCATTAGATTTTTGTTTAAATGATTTAGAGTAAACTTGTCTTTATAACATTTTATATTTTTAGAGCATTTTTATAGATAGGAACATGTGGCACACTTGTCTCTTAGTGCATTCTTCTTCCCTGTTTCTAAGGAAATAGAATCACTTTCTAACCATGAAACCATATTTCTAAGGAAAAGGAATCACTGCCTTGGTTCAAGTCCTTTTAAAGGTTGCTATTGTTCTAGAGTTACTTCATACAGAAATAGAATCACTGTCTATGCTTGGTCTTTTGCTCTGTAACATAAAACCCTAACATAAAACTCCTCTCTAGACCAACAATTTTAGTTTGTATTACAAGTGTGAGGTGATATGTGCATATCTACTGAAGTGATTCATCCTTGAATAGAGTTCCATGCATGATGAATCTTAGACCCAAGTTTTCAATTAAGGCTTCATTTGATTGAGTTGCAACCCATGAATACCCTTTTTGAATTGCCCATTTGTCTCTGCTGCACTTGCTGAAACATAGGTACAAAACCTCATCTTAGGATAACTGCAACACTTGCTCAAAAAGCTGATCACCTTGTGTTATGCCTTGAGAGATAAAAGATGTTGGGGGAAGATGTTCTAATAGCCAAGGCTGGGAACTTGTAGTGTGGTAACTGTTTCAAAGTGTATTTTTACATGTGGATGAGATGATAGATTAAAAGAGAAAAATGTGATTTTTTTCACCTTGATTACATTTTACCTATATTTCCGTGGCTTGTTTATTGCCAGCTGGATCTGATGCTCAAAGACCCAACCCAAGATAAAGATGCCAAAGCCCAGATTCACTTTGAACATTGACACTACTGTCCATTTTTTTTATGTCCCTAAGGATTCCATCAATTGACTGATGTGAGACAACCTCTTTTCTTTTTATAATCTGAGTAAAATCTTGCTATTGCAATTTAAGCCAGTGCTTTGTCAAATGCCAAATTACATTTTCCTTGGCTTGGAAATTGGAAACTTTTAAAACAATACTCCACTAGAACTTGTCTAATTAGGCCCTGCTACTGACTTTGAGGAATTCTATTATTGTGTCAGGAGCATGAGTATTGCCCATAAGTTTGAGCAGCATTTTTTAAGCTCCAAGAGGTGTTTAATAGATTTTCCCAATTTAGTCTCTTATAGTGCAGGATGCACACACACACACCTTCCATGTCATTTGTTTTCTCTTTTTAGGCATTTGAATCTTCTGCTGATGTGTTTTATACTAATAATTTGTCATTTATTGTAGCGCTTTACCGTGGAGGAGGTGTCATACGATATACTTATTAACCACCCAAAACGAGAAATGGACACTCTCCCGACTAGAAGGCATTTCAAAAGGAGAAGGAATGATGAGGTGTCTGGCTTTGACTCTGACTTTGAGGACACCGAGGACGAGTTGGAAAAGCTCTGTGCAACTGTTAAATGAAGAAGGACACATACGAGAGGAAAGCCAAAGAAGAAAAAAGGTAAATTATTCAATTGCTGGTCAAAAATTTAATTTCAAGTGATGATTTCTTCTATTAAATCTTGATATTTTACCCTTTATTGTAGAGAATGCTATCGAGGTAGATCATCATCATGATGCTGCTGACTTTGAGGAACCTTTTGATGGTGAACTTGAAGTTAACATGGAGTGTCATGAATACACTCATGGTCAGCAAGCTACGGTTGTTCCACCAGAATATGAAGTTGTTCCACCTGAACCTCACCACCTAGAGGTCGATCAACATAAGCAGCCAGAGGAGCAGGTCCAGGTCCAACCAGAGGTACAACCAGTGGTTGAACCACAGGTCAATTCCCATCTCAAACTTGAGGTGCAACCAACATCTCTAGAGGAACAACCAGTGGTTGAACTAGAGGTGCATGCCCATCTCCAACCTGAGGTGCAGCACCATTATCTACATGACCTTAATGAGCCTGTTGTTCATAGTGATAGTGACATTGAGAAATTTCATGATGCACGGGACGGCTACAATACGTAGGGCTGTACACAGTTTGGTCTGGACCGTAACCAAACCAGACCAAACCGTATTTTAGCAGTTTGGTTTGGTCTCGATTTTTTTGTAAATATGGTTTATGGTTTGGTTTGGTTTTGCAAAAATTATAAACCAAACCAAACCGTAAACCAATAAACCATATTATAAAATTTATATAATTTTTAAATAAAAAAATTACATATTATATATTAAAAAAAATTAAAGAATAAATAAAAAAAACCATGAAAAATAAATAAAAACTATATGGTCAATACTATATAATTAATGACTATAATGTAGTACTCCATATGAATTTTTTTATTGTTATGTATTATTTTTATTATGTATTAGCACTTGATTAGTTTATTGTTATTTTTACTGTAACTTTATAGTAATCCATATGAATATTTTTTATTGTTACGTATTATTTTTATTATGTATTAACACTTGATTAGTTGATTGTTATTTTTATTGTAACTTTGTAGTACAATTTAATCCGTTTGGGCTACTTATTTAAACTTTATTATAAATTAATAAAATATTATTTGACACTATTTGAGGAAAAAATATCATCACATCATAAACCGCAAACCAAACCGCACCAAACCGTATTATTATGGTTTGGTTTGGTTTGGTTTCAATACTAATATGGTTTGGTTTGGTTTGAAAAATTTACCAAACCGCATTTTGCGGTTTGGTTTGGTTTGGACTCAAACCGCACCAAACCAAACCATGTTCACCCCTAACAATACGGGTTCAGAATATCTCACAGGGGATGAGCAAGAGCCTGGCAATCATGAAGTGGAGGCAAATGCGAAGGAGATACTTGAGGAGTGTATACCTGACCAAGGGAACCCTGTGCATGTGCATGGTGACCCTCAGCACGTTAACTCTCTCATTTCCCTTCACTGTGATGTAAAATAACATTTGATGGGTGCATAGTTGTAAAAACAAGTTGTCTCAAATGGCTTATAGAATTTTTTTACAATTGGCCATTATGAGATAATTTTTTGATAGCATAAGTTTGGGACATAATTTTTTGACACAATTTTGATGTCTATCAAAGGAGATAATTTTTTATACCATAATTTTGCATTTAGACATTTTGACAACTAGTTGGAAATAAATAAAGTTACAAGAAAGTGTTTGTTATGTAGTACTTCAAATAATGATTTAGTTAATGCTGATTTAGTTAATGATTTAAGAGTATGGTATAAAATGGACCACAATCAATCAGATAATTTGAAAACAAGATTTATTTGATGTGACTTTTCTGACAATATATGTGAGTTATCTGACAAATACATGCATTGACTATCAATACATGATGTGACTATCATGTACATTTGATGGGACTATTCTGACAGTATAACCTCATATAGTAACAGTATCAGTATAATGCATTTTATATAGGTATGCTACAAAATTAACCTAGGGTATGCTTGCCTTGTAATGACAGGTGACGGTTAAAGATTTGGATATAAATGACAATGGTGATGATGAAGAAGTAGGTCTTGGGATATTGGCTGCAATAAACTACACACCTTGTAATCAAGAAGTCCCTGTTGGTTTGATGAAGTATATGTTTAACAACCCGGAGGGAGTGCTTTTGGAACGGAAAGGTTCATTCACTGTTGAGGATGTCGAAAAATACCTTAAACATGTTGATACAGAAACTCTATCCATTTTCAAAGGTTTAAAGTCTGCCTTGGATGGTAAACATATTATGTTGGAGCCTTTAGAGACTAGCTACACTACTACATAAACAAGCAAATGCAACCCCAAAAAACCGTTGCAATAGGACAAATATCCGTTGCTGTAAGCCTACTGCAATGGGTCTATGACCGTTGCATCCGAGGCCGTTGCACTAGAGTTATTGCAACGGCTTAGAAGACCTAGCGCAACGGCCCATTGGATATGGTGAAGGACCGTTGCATTAGACCCTATTCCAACGGTTCTTTGGGCCTAGAGCAACGTCTTAATAAACCCTTGCATTAGAATTAATGCAATAGTTAAAAAAGCCTAATGCAACAGCATTTTCTCATTGGCGCAAAGTCATATTAATAGTTTTAATTAGCACATACGCGCGCGCGTATACATGCATATATTATAGCAAATGCAACGGTTATATATAAATATATATAAACTAATTTTTTTTTTTACTTCAAATGAGATGTTTGCACCCTAAACAATAATACACAGAATGTATATCAATGAAAATAAAAATTTCATTTTCATTAGAAGTTTTCAAAAATATTTACATAATTGTCCAATAGATTGGCAATTTACAAAATGAAGTATTTCAACAATACTTATATAATCCAAAAGATAATTAGATACCACGATTTACATTAGTTTTCGGATCACATAATAATTATCACAACAACCACAAAAAGATCCACCACCAAAAAATTATTTAAATATATATTGTACTCCCATTTGTTTGTTCTTGAGTTATAGCCTGTAAATACAAAATATTTAGAAAGCATTCAATAATATTATATCTTAAAATATATTGATATTAAATAGAAAAAAAAATTAGCAAAATAAAGAATATCAGTGGAATTTAAGGATGTATTAAAGTATGATTGAGAAGAGATCATACCTTCCCTAAATCCAGTAAACATTTAACTTTCAACACTCATTCTAGTAAGTACTTAATTTTTAAACAATAATAGAAAAATTAAAGTACATACTTAAATATGACTAAGCTTAGTAGTCAGACATGAGTAACTTAAATTAGGGTTTATCTAATTTACCCAAAGACTATCTTTTTCTGTTTCAATTTAATTGTTACCATTGGTATAGTAACCCCAGAGCCTAGCTAAACAGTTTTAGTACACCAAAAGGGAGTAAAAGTAGTCAGGGTAGCAAAAAAAAAAAAAAAAAAAAGATATCAAATCATAAATAAAACAAAAGCATGGAGTAAGAAACACTACTTTCCACCATTATAAGAGTGTACACTTATATATATTTTTGTAATTTTTTTTTTAGTGTTAGTAGTTGTAAATTATTTTTCAATTCAATTAATTTTCATTTTAACCATGGACAATCAAGGTGAAAAGAAAAGTAACATAGGATAAATAATTTGAAAATATATATGACACTCACAATAATGTTTTATATAGCATATTAAGGCCACCAAAGATGTTCGATTACTCTAGGAATGTTCCATCCTCGCAATGATAACCATCACCATGTTCTTCTCCATGCTGCAAATAGTAAAAATAAAGTCACCACGTCATGACCCAAACAAGAATTATTTCAACTCATTAAATCATATCTTGTAGTTTATACGTAGTTAACTTTTAGATAAATTTTATACATTTTGAACTATTTTAGCTTAAACTGAAAAAAAGGCATAAGAGTACATAACCTTATTTGATAGGTGTATTCCAACACAAGATTATTCACCAGTGTGGTCATTAGCCTGTGACATATCACTAGTTGCATCCCTTTGATTAGATGCATTTGGGTGTTCAGGAACCTTGATATTGATTTCGGGATTAGCTTCCTGCAATTGTTGAACCAACTCTGCTTGAATACTTTGTAGAATTTCCTTTGGAATTTTATACCCAGATTGGTTTCCTTTCTTCTTTAAGTCGTTCTTTGTCACACCTTTCCCAAAGAGGCGTACACGTCCATTATGCTCAGCTTTTTTTCACTTTATAATAGGGATCCGTAGTGTTGGGATCTTCTTCATGTTCTTGATCAGATTCTAGTGCATCCATTTGTTCCTTGGAATCAAAAGTTACAAAGATTAGAGATAGGTTAGTTATTCATGAAATAATATGCAAGAATATAATAACATAAACTCACAATATTATCTTTCGTTTTCCCAAAGCTTGTCTTGTATGTCCTCTTAGGATTTCTTTTCCTTGATTCTTTATAAACTCTTGCTTAGGAGGGTTCTTTCTTATTTGGGTCCTCTTGTTGCTACAAAAAAAAAGTTGAACCATATCATAGTAGAAGCGAAAAAAGTCAACATGTAAAAAAATAAACAAAAAAACATGTTTGTGACGTAATTAAGAAAATAGAGTTAAAACAAATGATTACCAATTTATGACGTAATATTGCATACGAATTTGGACCCATAGTGTGAATGTCATCAAGCTTTTCACGATTTCTTTTGTTGGTCTCACTTTCCTCCTATGAAATTATAAATAAAAGAAGAAAGAAAGAAAGAAAATAATCTCAAGTACTGCAATTGCAAAAATTAAAAGGTATGTACAGCAATAGCTAAAACATACAATATGTACCTGAACTTTTGGCAAATTCCAGTAGTTTAAAAGGTCTTCAAAATATGTTTCTAGCAATGTTTTTGGACGCTCTGCCCTTCTTTTTTCATTAGTTGCAAATGCATAAAAGTACTTTTGTTTTGTCCTACATTTATAGATACGCCAAGCGTAGTTAACAGCCTCCATTACCCACTTTTTTCCTTCCTCAGGCACCAAGTATTTCTCCTACAACAAAAGATTAAATGCTATTTAAGCAAGTACAAATTTAAACCAACCACTTATCAATGTAATAGATAAAAAAAATTTATATATAGAAATACCTGCACATAGTCCCATATTTTATCATGTGTGGGAAGACTTTTCCAGTTGACATAATTCAGTGGGGCTAGCTCTGAATTTTTAGCCACTGTTCCCAAAAATTGAGAAAATTCTTTGACAATTTCAGAAGTGGGTCCAATTGGCTGCCCAATTCGATTGAGAATAAGGTAAGGTCGTTCCTCTCTTGTACGAGCATGGACCTTGATCAATTTTGTCGGCCCTCAATGCTTCTTGATTGTGGGAGCTGCAACGAGCAACTTTGTAAGCTAATTAATTAATAACAGTAAGTTAACAAACAACACATAAATAAATAAATAATCAATATTACCTTTTTCTGGGCTTTCTACTACTGGTTGAGATTGCAATTCATGTCCAATTTCAACCCTTCTATTCATAACCACATTTTCTTGGTCTCTAAGTTGTGGTTCATTTTCAATTGCTTCATTCTCATTAATTGATGTAAGCAGGCAATCATATTCACCTTCATGGGTTGATGGATTTTCCATTTGACTATCGGGAAGTACACATCCTGATTGTTTTTTCCGAAGCTCACGAAATGCAGACAATGACCCTGGACGACAAAAGGCCTTTTGTTGTTGCTTCTGTTGTGATTTGGAAGGATGTTTTCCAAGTTGGTTATTTCCATTTTGTTCACTTCTTTGTTGATTTTTTCTCATTGAATTCAAATTTTTACGATCAACAACTTTTTGTAAACTATTTCCAAATGGTTCAATACATTGGTTCTTTTCGACACATTGATCATTTTCAGCAATGTCCATCTCTACAAGTTGATTTTCTGGTTGTTTTTCTATAAGATGCTCTGACATTTGCTTAGTAAATGCAGCCATAGAACCCAACTTGGATACTGAAACCTATTTATTCCCAGGAAATAATGATTCATCATTTATTATCAACTAGATTAATTCAATAATATTCATTACGTTAGGAAAAAAAGAAGACAATAATATATAGCTAGAAATATGGTAACAATCTGACCTTGGATGCATTTATCTTTCCTGGAAGTTGTGTATGTTGCTTTTTTGCAAGATGTTCTGAAGTATTCTTGATGAAGTTAGCCATAGAACCCGACTTAGTCATGGAGTCCTACAAGGAAACAATTTTCCAGTCAACTAATTTCTTTCTTAATCTGATAATTAAAGTCTTTTGGTTTTATTCCCAGGCAATAATGAACAGGTTGCTAGGTTGAAAAAAGGAGCAGACAAGAATTAAAAAAAAAAGTCAAAGCTATTAGTTGTTAAGAAAAATAACAGACTTTATACTTTCTCACAACTTTTTTTGACACTAACCTTGGTGTTTCTTTTCTTGTTCACGGCATAAATTTCATCCTCGTTACCCTCATATTCGGGTATGTATTCACCATCACCCTCTTCATCTGAAAACACTTCATGGTCTTCCCATGTGTTGACCACTTCACAGGCATTTACAAATGCTTGAGATTTATCATATATTTGGGTTGCCAAACTTCCTTTTCCTTGAGCTACCATCAACTCTGCATTTCTCTTCAACTGTTGTAGTCTTTATCTTTCATAATCTGTTAACATTTTAGTTTGAGGAATAGATTTGGCTTTATTCGCCTTCATCTGCATATTAACAAAAAAAATAGGAACACATTATTATATAACATGGTTATAAGATCAAAAAGGAAATTTAATACCATCTACTAAAAGAAAATTAAGACAATATCATAACATAACAAGTAGCATATTTCAATAAGAAAATATGCATTTTCAAATTTCCTACCATCAGAAAGTTCCATCGGAAGGTTATGTACAGCAAAAAACCATCCATTCTTAGTTAGATCTTCTACATAAAAAAACTTGGCGTGCTTGAGATGCCAAGATAAATGGTTCTCCTCCGCAAATAGTCTTATTCTTGTTAACCAAAGTAAAGTCGTCATCTAATTCAGAATAAAACCACACACATTTAAACAAGACGACGCTAAAATGACCATGGTACGATATCTCAATTATATCTTCTATCGAACCATAGTAAGCAACATCACCTAAAATGGGATTTTGATCTTTGCTGCTGGCAAAACTAGGTGTTAGAGCTGTTAAAGTAACTCCATGGTTTTGACAAGAAGAATTGGCATCACGCTTCATGGTGTGGAAATGATAAACATTGACAAAGTACCCGGTGTACCTTTTGGCTACATAAGAAGGCCCTTGTGATAACCATTTGACATGGTCAGAGATTACAACTTCTTCTAAAGCAACCTTCTGTTTGAACCACTGCACTCTGTAAATTCCTTGCTATGATTATGAGCACTATCCCATTTTCTTTTCCTATGAGAACTTAAATGTGCCATATGCTCACTATAATAGTAAAAAAGATGAATCTTAGTACTAAGTCTTTGATATTAGTTACATATAAAATGTAAGAAAATATGTCTTACTTGATGTATCTCTCAACATCCTTACTATTACAATTGAATATCACAAATGTATGCGCTTGAGCCAATGTATTATGATCAATCATAAACCCATACTGGCTCTTCTTTGTGGCCTTTCCTTTTCTCCTTGTAGGTTTACCAACACTAGGAAGGAATGGTTGTGAGTTGCTATGATTGACACCCTTTGAAGGAGTGTCTAATCAATTTAAGTATCTAGCACAAAATCTTAGACATTCTTTAGCCCAATATTGTTCTGCCATGGACCCCTCTGGACAAGCTTTCTTTCGAACATCATCCTTCAACTCATGAAGATACCTCTCACTTGCATACATGCATCTACTACAAACAGGACCACCAAGCCTAATTTCTTCAACTAAATGAACGGGTAAATGAACCATTACAGTAAAAAAGGTTGGTGGAAATATCCTTTCCAATTGACAAAGAGTTTCAACTATCTTGGAATGAAGATTGTCAAGATCGCAGGGGTTAATAGTTTTATTCCAAATGCCTTTGAAAAAACGACACAACCTTATTAAAGGAGTAGCAACATCTTTAGGTAATGTTACCTTCAAAGCAATTGGAAGCAAATAATGCATACAGAAATGAGCATCATGGCTCTTATAGCCTGTGATCTTCCCTTCATTAACCTGCACACAACGACCAATATTGGAAGCATACCCTTGTGGAAGCTTTGCATTTTTAATGGTCTGGCAGAACAAACGCTTCTGAGGTAATGTCATCCAGAAGCTTGATCTTGGGATTTCTTCACCACCATCTGGTAATTCTATAGGTTGAAGGTCTGGCATAATTTTGAGTTTTTTCAGATCACGGCGAGCACGGACAGCATCCTTGGTCTTGGTAGATATATCTAACAATGTCCCAATGATATTATCAAAGATATTCTTTTCTATATGCATTACATCTAAATTATGGCGATTAGTACAATGCTTCCAATAAGGCAAGTTAAAAAATATTGGCAACTTTCTCCACGGAACATCTTCATCTGGCTTTTTCCTTTTCCTCTTTCCAAACTCATGTGGAAAATCTCGAAGTAATTCCTGGATCTCAATGCCCGTCAATCGCATAGGTGCATTTCTTTCCTCAACTTGTCCATTGAAGTTTCTCTTGTCATGGCGCTAAGGGTGAGATAGTTCAAGAAATGGACGGTGATCCCTATAGCACCACTTATGACTATGATCTAACCATTTTGAATTTGTGTCATAATGACAACATGGACATGCCATTTTCCCTTGGCTCCAACCGGACAACATTGCATAACCTGGAAAATCAGAAATGGTAGACACTAAAGCTGCTCGCATGTCAAATCTTTCATTAGTTGAAGCATCATATGACTCCAGCCCAAATTCCCACAAATCTTTAAGATCTTTTATCAATGGTTGTAGATAAATATCAATATCATTGCAAGGAGATAAAGGGCCAGGAATAAGTAATGCCAGCATCAAATACTCGTGCTTCATGAGCATCCATGGAGGCAAATTATAATTTATCAAAATCACTGGCCATGTACTATGTACAATGCTCATTGTGTGAAATGGGTTAAATCCATCAGTGGCTAACCCTAGCCTCACATTACGAGGCTCTTCAGAGAACATTGGATACGACTTGTCAAAGTCTTTCCAAGCTTGACCATCCACTGGATGCTGTAAAAGCCCATCTTTTTCACGTCCATTTACATGCCAAGTCATGTACTTGGCAGTCTCTTGGCACATAAATAGTCTCTGCAACCTTTTTTTTTTTATTGGAAAGTACCTTAGAATTTTTGCAGGAATTTTATGAGTCTTTCCTTCCACATTCTCCATATCATTTGATTTCCACCTTGGGGTACCACAAACATGACAGCTTGTTGCATTTTCATTTTCCTCCCAATACAACATACAATCATTAGGGCATGCATCAATCTTAGTATAGTCTAGCCCTAAAACTTTTAAAGATTTCTTTGCTTCATTAAAAGAAGGCAGCTTTGCATCATCAGGTAGAGCATCCTTAAATAGTTCTAACAAAGCACTAAATGCGACATTGGTGAGCTTAAAATCGCACTTATAAACAAACAGACGAATTGTAAAGGCAAGTCTGGTAAACTTTTTACAGCCCGTGTACAACTCTTGCTGGCCTTCTTCAACAAGCTTTAAAAATTTCTTTGCATCTTCATTTGGACCCTCTCTTGAAGTATCTTTCAACAACCCCTCTATGTCATCATTCGGGTCCAAAGATACATTATTGTCAACTATCACATTTTCTCGTTTGTTATCTGTCCATGCTTCTGACAGTATGTCTGTTCTAGGAGCAAACCCGTTGCAAATTACATGTTGTTTAATAACAATTCTAGGATGCCAATAAAGGTAGAGACACATTACACATGGACAATAAATTTCATCTCCGTGAGACTTCGATGCAAAAGTGTTTTCAATGTATTCATCAACTCCGTGCTCAAATTCATCACTCCATCTAGGAAATGTCCACCACTTTTTATTTCTTTTATCCATTACTCTAATTAGAAAATATGACAAAAAAAAAAAATTCACTAAGAAACAAATCAAGGAAAAGAGGGAACATTAAAATTAAGCACCCCAACATATCAATAATACGTGAATACTAGTAACAATTTCGTAAGAGCATGTAAGTATGGAAGTTCTAAGCAGTTTTAATGTACTAGTTTAGATCATAGTTTTATAAACAAGTTAATGTCGCAGGTAGAGACACACTTAAGATATCACATTAATATAAAAGTAATCATCATGATTCGTAATATATATGATTAACACATTGATGAATTGTTCGAGATAGAAATAAAGGAACACAAACCTGCGAGGTGTTGTTCTTTTGATGAGTTTGCACCAGGGACATTCGAAGGGTGGAAAATAATACTTAACACACTCAAAAGATAAAGCTTTTGCAGCAAGAATAATCAAAGGAGTGCAGATTTACAACTTTTCTTGAATTTTGAGGGAGAAAAGTTGAATTTTTCCTATGTAAGACCTGTACATGCAACACACACAAAAAAAAATCATGGGTAAATAACCAATCAAATATAATGGTTTCAATAAACTAATTTAACAAGGATAAAGTACAGAGGCTAAAATCCAACTATAAAGGAGTTGTCTTTCACATGATTGAAGCCACTCAACTAATACACAAGTAGCTCATATGATCATTATGCAAGCACGGTGTAAGAAATTAAAACTTTGTCCCTCATTAATCTCACCTCTATGAGGGCAAAAAAAAGGGATGACGGAGGGAGTAATTTTCAAACTCTAACTTTTTAATCATTTGTCATAAAGTCAAGCAAAACAAAGAACAATATAGAAAAACAGTGTAAATATATATAGGTGTAGAAGTTACATTTGTCCTTCCAACGGGTTATTCAATAACCATTTCATTTGAGTGATGGCCTCCCTCAAGACCATATGAAAGCTCTTATGTAATTAAAGGGCTTTAAAAATTAAAATCCTTGGAAATTCTCAATTCATTCAATTGCTACTAAAATACGAGTGTAGAGAGGTGATACACCAAGAAACAACTTATTTCAAAGAGTGATTACATCCTCCACCCCCAATCCCCATGTAATATGAATTTTTGAAATATGTTACACTTTAAATAACTATGATCTCCTAAAGCAAATTAAATTCGGTCAAGTATGGGTTTTTGGCCTGCAAAACAGCATCCTAAACAGGAATTGGTCTGCCTTTTGTGTTCATTTGTTCTGTTGCAGATTTCTTATCTCCTGGTATATCCGTATCTCTCTCATTTGTTGTAGTAAAAATTATTGTACTAATCTCAATCCACCAAGTAGTAATAATAACTTGAATACAACTATATTGCCATGTTCCTCTAAACATATATTAAAATATTTTTCACTTCATCCAATGTTGTAAATCATAGTAAAATTTTAGGAGAACTGGCAAACAATTGGGTTTGGTTATAGCCATATAGCTTAGTGCCCTTGATAAATTATGTTCTATCAACATGGTTCAGAGTCAAATGACAACCCAACTACTACTTGAATAGGACATGACAATACCCACAGAATATATATTGGTATCTACAAACTTCATAGTTAATGATGATAGAGTATTTTGTATCTTAACAATAAAATTTATTATTTAAAAGAAAAAAATATAAAAATATAAGCAAAAAATAATTTCCTAGTATATCACGCTTTTCCTTCCTCCAAAATAGTGCAAATCCAACACTAATTTTACCAAAAAAATTACAAATCCACCACTAATTTTACCAAAAAAATAAATAAAAAACAAATCCACCACTTTAAGCTCCAATGCTTGTAAGATTACAATTTAGGATACCATTGAGCCGTGAGTTTCTTTCATATGGGCTTAATAGTTAAAATTTGGTTGTTTCTAACTAAGATCTTTAATTTAATTAGAACTATTAGCTGCAAAAGTTGCTCAAAAAATCACGCAACTTCTACCAACTAGTACTACTTCAGCTTCTAACAAGAGGGTACAAATCAAATTAAAGTATAATCCACTAGGAAAAAAAATTATTAAATTGTTTAATATATCTAAGGGTATAAAATTTAGATATTTAGATGAGCATCAACTTCAACAACATAAATTAATTCAAAAAAAAAAAAACTAGTTGAATTGTGCATGCAAATTGGCAAACGAAATAAAGGTTTGAAGAAAATTGGAACCTGTAATACTCAAGTAGCAGCCTGACAATACTATTCCAAATAATTAACTTTCAAATGGAGAAATGTTGATGTTTAGAGATCTATTTGAGAATGAGTATTGAGAACGGAGATGAGTTGAGAACTTGAGACAATAATGCGGTGTTCACACTATTGATTTTTTTGGATTCTTTGAGAAATAAGGGTTTTGAAAATTGGGGAAAAATAGTGTAGCTCTGAGGATTGAGAAATAAGGGTTTTGAAATTTGGGGAAAAAAATAGCGCACAAAAGAAAGTAAAGTGGCGGGTTACTGAAATTTTTTATAATCTTATTTAATTTTCTTATATTCTTAAATAGGCCTAATGCTACGGTTATTTTACCTACCGTTGCACTAAAACGTTGCACTAGCCATACCCGTTGCAAAAACCCGTTGCATTATCGTTGATTGTTGCAAAAACCGTTGCATTAGCTTATACCGTTGCTTTAAAATGTTGCATTAGCCTTTGACCGTTGCTAAACACCATTGCATTTGCTCGTTTATGTAGTAGTGCAAGCAGCCTGCTGATGGTAAGTCCATCAGTGATGGTACTCTCGTAGTTGCTTTTTAATATTTAAACTTTTTATACTGTCATTAAAACTTCTTGGGTTGTCATTTCATGTATTTGGAATTTATACTTTGATGTAATAATATTCACCTTATTTTGATAGTGAATACTTGAATATCAAACAACTGATATTGTTGTCTATTTCATACCCTTGTCAGGTAGGGGTGGCCTCCACTAGTGAAGTAGGTGTGGCCTCCGCTTGTTAGGTAAAGGTAGCCTCCCCTGGTGTAGTAGGGGAGGCCTCCATTGGTCAAGCCACTGGTGAAGTAGGGGTGGCCTCCAGTGGTCAGGTTCATATTCAGCAACCTAGAGAAATCGGCAACTACATAGGCTACTCTTCTGAAGAGGAACCTATCACACCACTACACAAGTTCACCAAAGCTTTAACACATGATACTAAAAAAGAAGACAGAGAGAAGCAGAAAGCGTAGGCAGTTGGCTCCGGTTTTGTTGGAAGCCTCTTACGTAATAAAATGGAGGCCTAAGTGTATAAGGAGGTACTTTGAACTACTTTATCACTTTGTGATGAACAAGACGATAGCCTCACCAAGGTTCACACATGATGAGTGAGTGTTTATACAAGTTACATAATTACATATATTATTACTTTATAAACTTTTAGATAACTTGGACTTTACTTAGAGTTTGGGTACTGTAGACACCCATTTGTGTCTCCCCAAAACCAAACCCAGTGATGAGTACCTTTCACGTCGAATCATAATCGAATGAAACGAAAGTGTGGAAAGGTCTAGTGTTGCGGAAAGTTTTATTTTTTTTCTCTTCTCCCTGAATTTGAAAACTTTATTTTAAGAAAACAGCCAATACAGTTTGGTTGGTCCATGATATGGGTCCAATAGTGGTGTAATTGAATGGGGCTTGCAAAGACCTTTCCAACGATATATTATAAGCCCAATTCCGATGAGTATTGAGGAAGTTATGGCAAATTTACTAAACTGGGTCCGGTTTGAGCTTTATGTATAGCCCAATGATCTAGGGGAGGGCCTAATATGATTTATCATTCCTAATGCAATTAGGAATGGTTTTAGTCTTCTAGAACATTCTAGAAGGTTCTTTTCATTCTTAATTTCAATTAGGACTTTTCAGAGTTTTAATCAAGATCAAATAGCATTTTCGATTGGAATTATATTATTTTATCTTTTAGTACAGGAAATTTATCAGATTTTCGAAAACGCGTTGAAAATCAGTTTGGCGTCCAACCCCAGGCCTTGGCGCCTGGAACCAGGATTGGCGCCAGGCGCTAGCCATTGGCGCCTGACGCTAGCCACTGGTCCTGGCGCCAACTAGCCAGGGCTGGCGCCAAGGTTGTTTTTCGATCTTCAGACTCTGTTTTGTTAAATTATCTTTTTTGGATGATTTTCTCTATAAATATCGTATCAAAAACTCCGTTTTCATTCATCAACAAGCATCATCGATCATCAACTCTCTTTATTCACCAATTATCATCAATTCTCATCAATTCTCTTTATTTTTACAAATCATTCATCAATTACCATTCATTAATTCTCTTCATTCATCATCTTTCATTCATCAACTTTCAATAATATTAATTCTTTAGTATTCTTTTCTAAACTTCGCTTTTCACATACAAAATTCCGCATTCGCAAGATCTAGAAACACCTAGCCATATTCGAAGTTGCCTTCGCCCTAAACGTGAAAGGTTTTAATTTCTGAGGGTTTGGTCCCATATCTCTCTTTTCAATTATTTAATTTAATTGTTTTGATTATTATTTTCCTTGAAGTTACTAACGCGTGTATTTTGTTATTAGAAAGAGGTACGAAACATCCAAGTAAGTACTTTAATTGATTTATGATGTAGATACCATGTTTATGTTGTTATTATGATTCCTAGTATCATGTCTAGGTTAATTTTAATATTAAATATGATTGCTATGATGCCTTTTATTCTCTTCCTAATATTTACTCGTGTTAGTATCATGTTAGGGTTAAAGATTTGATTTTTAATGCTTAGTTACATGCTAGGGTTTGTTATTAATCTTGTTAGTATCATGCCTAGGATCTTGCTATGATTTAACATGATTATGATGATTATGATTATGATTGATATTATTATTATTATTATTAATGATGTTGATATTATTTATTATGTTGCTTGATATGCATATTATTTTATTTGTTATTGCTTGATCACTTTTTATTGCATGTTAAAGGGAATTTTGTACTTGCAATCGCGCTTAATAAGATAATTAATAATATTGTTTAGGATTAATTGTGATTATAAATTCAAGTGATCGCCAATAATAGTTTATTTGTGCATTATATTCAACCAAAATAGATTAAACAGGTTTAGGGTTAATCCTATTGATTGTATGTTAATCAGAAAGCGCACATGAATATGAGCAAAATAAAGTAGAGGCCTATTATTAAGGCAGGTTCAATCTCTTTTAGGTTGGATTTGTACCATCATCCCCAGACCCTATTTTGGTTCATGACCTTATGGAGTTGACGATCTCTTGGATCGTTAAGGGGTGTAACCTTCACCTCGTGAACGGTTTACAAGTTCCTTAAAAACTTGTTGGCGACTCTTTTGCTCTATCTTCTTCCCTTTTGGACGCCACCGTACTTTAGTGTATGATCACAGTGGGGTTCAAGCTAGTGGGATTTTAAAGGCTTGAAATTATTCCCTACAGGTACATGTTTTGTTACAGCTCTAAACACACATTCATGAAATGCGGAGGAGACTATGTTAAGATGGTTTATTGTGGAAAAATTGTCCATCAGAATGGCATGGTTTATGATCAGGTTAGCTTCAATTAAAGTTCATCTTTATACGTGTCAAACATAATTTAATTAACAATATTAATTTAACACACATGATTTTTGATGCAGTATGTTAGGACTTGTGCAATCTTATATGAAAATGTAACGCCCCGACTTTTAATCGGCGTCACCGGACCGTATATAACTTGTCATTCGCAGCGGATTAATTAACCATAGATAAACCATTCTTTACTCATCATACTAAGCGGAATCAATTATATATAGATAATCTCATAGCCACCTGTGGGTTATGGGCCCACAAATAAACATACTCCTTAATGAGAATATTCAATAAAAAAAAATACAACTCCAGTCTTCCTTACTGTAATAAAATAATCAATATATCTCAGCTCTCGATGATCCCTAATACATAAGCCTTGATTCCATAATCCCTAAACTAAATAAATTCCTTTAATCCCTTTGCTTTAGATTAACTTCAGCTCTGTCATCATTATCCCTGTAATTATCCATAAAAATAGTAAACAGAGAAAACACAGGAAAATCCAAAAATGAGTTGAAAACTTAGTAACATTACTCTAGCCTGTAAAACAGTTTTTCTTTCAAAATCATTTGAGCATATATCAAACATACATAGTTGTTCAGAAATAATCTAACATCATTAATTTTAAAAGCTGTGTCGGCAAGGATCATTCCCTTTATGTAAGATCATAGGTAATTACATGTTTTGGACGTAACATAACTTTCATTCATGTGGGAATGTTTCCCCCTTTCATTAACATACTTTCCTCAACCTGTAACTCGCCTATTTTCAACGTTCAGTTCACTTTCCAATGCCGACAAAAGTTTCATCTATCGTATCATTTTAAATCATTTCAGAACAACTTTACATTTCATAAAAATTCATAGCACATTGACACATATCGTAATCATCAATTCATAACACTTAATTGAATAAAATAATCATTACATTAAACATTTAACAGGGGCTTAACATAACAGCTCACTTACACATATTTTATAAATTAATAAAATAACTAGAAATACATGTCGTTCATAGCATTCTTATCACCTTGTATGATGTTAAGATATCTTTATGAACTATCGTACATATCAGTACATCGTAAAACTCATCAATAGAGTATCCTTGTGAGTTCTCTTAAGTCCTTTAATAAAATTCATGTATTCGTAATCTTTTTGGTGGACATGCTAGTCGCTGGACAGTATGACATGGCGAAACGTCTTCCGCGATCGGCCGGTGCCCATAACATAGAGCAGGTGCTCGACATAGTTGGGCTGGTGCCCCATGGGTACATGCATTGCATGACCGAAACATAACATATACTGCCAGACGAACTAGGACTTTCATTTTCATTTATCATGTTGTGTACCTTTTAACAATTTATTCGTAGATTATTAACATACTTTCGAGAGATCCACAAATCAATAAAACATTGTACATATATAAAAGCATTCATATAAATCAGAAGACTGAAATACATTAATAAACGTGTTTATCATATCATAAGTCATTAAAAATATATACAAGGATATAAAAGGTCATGTCATGTCATTTGCACATAACACACTTTTAAATCATAACACGTCAAACATATCATATAGGCTTACATATGATGTAGTAACAGGCCATTTAAGATGTCAAACATGTCATGATTACACAGGTGCATTCATGATTACCAGACATAATTGTCACACATACGGGACTAGACACAGTTGCTAAACATAATAGTTACATATACGAGACTAAACACAATTGCTAGACATAATGGTTACCTCATTTGATCATCTTTAATCATCTCACTCATTCTCCAATAATCATTATACGAACTCTCAACCTCCGTCATTAGTTCCTCATTGTCATGACTCATTTGATCATACCCAATAATAATAAATACTCATTAGTAACGTCTTAATTC